AAGTTAAGGTAATGGAAGCTTTATCACCGAGTTCAGGAAAAAAAAAAAAGAGAAGTAAAACCATAATTTACTACTCATGTTCTTAAAGCGGTTGCATGGGGACTGGGTGATGGCTTTCTGCTTGTGTCCTATATATATTTCAGAAAGAGTTGATGTATCCCAACTGGCAGATTCAGAAGCACTTTTCAGCTCCTGAATCCGGATGTTTGTGCACTATGGCTATATCCTTCATATTGAAATAAAACTTTCTTTGCAAACTCTGATTTTCTTCTGAAGGAAGCGCTCATGTGCCACCGCCCTCCCGTCAGGTTGATCAGAGGATTAGGACTGACAGAGGCAGTCTGGGCTGCTGTGCCGGGCGACGGTCTGAGTATGCCACAAGCTGCACAAGATTTGCGTTGTTTTCTGAGGGATTCTGGCTTGTGAAGGTGCTAGAATAGAGAGCTGTTTAACTTTATTTTGGACCTTGTAGTCATTTGTAAGAATTTGAACTAAGCACTCTTTACTATTAACTAATAACTAAATAAATAATTCAAAAGCCTGCCCTGGCAAACAAACAGGAGAACAGCCTGTTTTTTTCAGGCAGCCTTGTTCAGACAAGTACCTTCTTGGGTGATGCTACTGAAATCAGTGAAAATTCTCCATAACAGAACATACTATAGCCTAAACCAGAAGCAGTCATGTGACAGAGTCACTGGCCAACTTGACTGGCTTTTCTGATGGCATCCCTTTCTGCTGGAGAGCTGATTACTGATTCCCATGGTCCCTCAGCTTTGCACACCCAGGTGTGGTCACATATGTCTGAGGAGGGATCTAGTTTTAGGACCAACATGTTTTATTATTTATGTCAAATGTGTTCTCATCAGTAATAGGAAAAGGGAAAAAAAAAGAAAGTATTAAGAGTTATGTCCCCAGGACTTGGCTTTTAAATGACCAGAAATTAAAACTACTAGAATAATGTTATTAGAACCCTTCCTAAGAGCACAGAACTTCGAAGGCGAGTAGTGTGGAGAGGGAGGATTTATGACTCTCTAGCACTGACAACGAAGGTAATTTCACAATAAACTGCAGAATTTACTTGTTTCTAGAAAGTCCTTACAAGAGCAAGAGTTGCTGCATAAAGGAGTACCACTGTTTGAAAGGAAAAGAGCAGTTGTGGAACCCCTAAAGTTGTAGCTAAGAATATGGGCCTACAGGGATTATACTGAAGATTAAAATATTTTGGCCGTAGTGATGGCTGTAATGAGAATGCATCCAGAGATAAACTGAGAGAGCTGAAAAGTATTTAATTTAGATGGCAGCCTACAAAAATTAAAGTGAAAATGAGACTTGCTTAGAGGTAATAGACGGAGGGTACAAGATTCATTTTTTAAGTGTTAACCTTTTACATGACAGTGTGATGCTGTAGTTAAGATGACAGGATTCTTTGTTTGGGGAATTTATTTTGCATTTCTAATTGTTTTATAATTCCTGGGTTAGGAATTTTCTCCAGAAGTTTCTGACTGACAGAAGTCAAGGATTTTTCACGGCAATACAATGGAATGAGTGAGCTTCATTGTACTGAGCAAAAGATTAAGCAGCAACTTGTCTTAGTTATTGTGATTAAATTAAAATATTCTTGAATATTAATATTTTTTCTGGTCTATGTTGAATACGAACATGGAAATTCAATTGATTTCTTTCTAGTAACCCAATCCTTAAGAACTTGCCCCAAACTTTGAGCCACTTTGATGTTCAAAGGGTTTGGCTGAGATCAGAGATGAGAAGAAAAAGAATGGGGACCTCTTCACAATATTTTTACCTTTGAAGTGTCAGGTTAAAAGTACTATTTCTGTTTGCTTAAACAAGCAAGAGAATGAAGGATAAGATCATGAATTATGATAACAGACAAATGACAAATGTTTTTCATGAAGTACATTTCCTTGTCAGGAGCGAGAATGTTCTTCTAATAGATTTCCAAAGAGATTGACAATTTGTAGAGTCAATTATTGGGAAGGAAAAGATATATCATTGTATTTCGGTTTTAACCATTTAAGTGGGAATAAAGGATTAATTTGGAACTTTTCCCTCTGTTTTCCTCTACATTTCATACCAGTGGTACCAAACATTCACATTATCCAACTGTCAACAAATCCCCTAGACTCAAGCCTGGAACAGTACATCCCAAATCTTCCCCATGAAAGTACTTCATGAAAGCTCCTCTGTCATTCAAGATCATACTATTCCCTCCTCTATTTATTTCTAAGTGTCACTCAGCTCCATTCCACCAGCTTGGAAAAACGTCAAGAACTTTTATCTTCAGAGTCAGTTGCCAGTTCTGTTTAGTGAACAAGCCAGCAGGGACCTCTGGTGCCATCAATGCAGCTCAGTCAATGCCCCTCTCTTCAGGGATGGAGTATATCATTATCCCGATGGCTGGACAGAAAAAAAGCTGCATTTTTAGAATAGTTCTCAGGGAGCAGTTACTGGAAATCTCCTCCCTTGAGACAGACTATTGGCAACAAGTTTTGCTGCTGTGACATGAGGTATTGCATCGAGGCCCAATCCTGCCACTAATAAAGTTAGTGGGAAACGTGCCATTCTTTTCAAGCGAAGTCAACAGGATTAGTGTAGCAAATCAGAGCTAAAAAACGTACCTTGCATCTTCAAATGCAAACAGAAAGTCACCTCACAAGTGCGAATGTCATTTTACGTCTGGTTTCAGAATCTGGCTTTGTTTCAAATCGGAATAGGCCCCTTCCCCAAATTTAAAATTGATAATAATGAAAATGGAAATTTTATTTTCATATTACAACGTTTCCATTTTTGGGTTTGGGGGTGTTTATTTAAGTTTGCATCTAAAAAAAGTCAAGAACAGACTGTTTCAGTGTTGGATTTCTTTTTCCTCTTAAAAAAACCACCCAAACACCCTTCTCTTAGTTTCTTCTAAAGCAAAGCATAGACATTGCAGAGATTTTATTTTTTAACAAAACTGTTTTCTGATAGAAAACAGTTCACTTCACACTTTTCCTTAATAAGCTCTAGCGGACTCTTTTAATTACCAGCAGACACATTACACAGCTGTGCTAGGAAACATTACTTAACCTGCTCAGCCTGAATGGAGAATTTCTTTTGATGTCAGCTGTCAGACCCAAAGGCTCTTGACTGCACAAACAGGTAACAGTCCCACTGTCTTGGCAAGTGCAATCTTCCTATAGAGAAATAATATGGTGCTGGGTTATTTTATTTTTTATATATATATATAAATGTTGGTTCACTTTTTTCGTAAGATATTGTCATACTTGGCAATAGTGGCTTTAATTCTACTTAAAATGACAGAACTGAATTGTCATCATTTTTAATGGGTGAAATCTATGCAGTTCATCAGAGGTGCTGTAAAATCTAATCAGAAATTAGACTGTAAAATTAATAGGCCTATATTCTCTATAATGCTGTTTTATAAATCTGGAACTGTAGCAGATCTGGAGTTTCACATACAGTGCAATTAAGCAGTGTTGGGATTTTCAGTTTAAACAAATAACCTGTGAAATAACTAGTACACCACACTAAAGAGCTAGTGGCTGTGTTTTACTTTGTGTAGTAGGGTGCCAAATGCATTAATTCCATGCCTGGGCTTTCATTTGAGTGTATTTCTATACCACAGTTACAAGCCATGGGATAACTTCCCCCAGTTTATTTTTTCACAGCTATTTCACAGAATCTTCTGAGTTGGAAGGGACCTGCATGAATTATCGAGTCCAGCTTGTGAGTGGCCCATACTTTTTATGCAGCAAATGTTAAGAATGGCTGTAAGACACTGATTTTGACCACGCAGCCCTTGTCTGCGAGTATCCAGGTGACAGGACTGCAGTGCTAACTTGTCCCTGTTAGTCGGAGAGGAATAACAGGGCAAAATGGATGGGAGAGGCATGAGGCAAGCTAAGAAAGGAGCTGGTGTGCAGCCTTTCCTTAGCAGCAGCTCTGGGAAAAAGGGGAGCGCAGCCCCTCAGCACCACCTTGCTCCGGGGGGCTGTGGGAGCCCAGCCGTGGGAAGGGAGGCGGGTGGCGGCTCTCAGCATCTCCTCCCTCCCTGCGCTTTGCGGGAGTACACGCGAGGGAGCGAAGTCTCCCATGCCCCAAAAGCCCTATAGGCAAATCCCGAGCGGGATTTTCCTCCCCATGACGGCAGGAGGAGGGTGAGGGGGTGCCGTTCGCGGTGCCTCCCCTGCCCCCAGCAGGACCGGGCAATCTGGCCGAACATATGTGACATTATGTAATGCCACGGGAGCGGCTGCTGGGGAGGGCGAGCGATGGCAAAGAGGCAGTAGGCAGGCAGCAAACCTTCCTTCCCTGGGCTGAAATGATTCACTCCTAATGATAATTTGCACCATTTTAGCGCCGGGTACCTCCCGTGTAATGATTATACAGTGTTACTATAAAACCTCAGGGTTCATCTGCAGAAACATTTCTTACGCTGGAGTTCTCTGTGGAGACATACTTATAAAAATTGGTATGAGGGGAAGATTAAATAGATAAGAGCATAAAAACAGATTATAGAATAAATACAGTCTTGTAGATCAGTTCAACAGGGAGGCAGGAGCTTACACTCTTGATTCTCCTGCCGAGTTCTGTCATACTGGACAGATTGCTTCTTCTCTGTTCCTACCTCAGTTTACCAGATTTGAAAGAATGGTAATGCCTTTTTCAACTCTTTCTCTGCCTTATCTAACCATGTCATAATACAGCAGGAATACCTGCACTGGAGACATTAACACTGTCTAGCCTATGGAATCTGGATCCCAGTTTAGTCTTCAAACTTGGAACAAATAATTATCAACATATAAATATGCTTACTTCTGGTTTTGGATTGTGTTCTCTTTTCCTGTAGATCCTGCTATTCATTCCACCTCTATCTCCATCCCAAGAGAAAAAGAAATATTTGCCAAGAACAAAAGAGCCAAATCAGTAAAGAAGTAATTTTTATCTTTTTTTTTAACAACCTGATAGAGAATACAGCACAGTGAAAAAGATGTTTAAATCCAGTTATAAAAAAAACTTTAGTAATATTTCTTTACATTAATAAAGCCATTCACCGAAGTAATCTTGTCTCACACCATTAGTGCACAGCAATACAAAATAAGGTGAAAACCTTTGGAAAAGTACTTAAAGCAATAAATCTGAAACAAGGAATACGCTTTCCCTTTATCATAATTGCACATTTAAGAGGCCTCTGCTTTACCAGTGGCAATTCAGAGTGACAATGCCCGGCTTAATGCTGTCGTCTTTTAGCTACTATTATAGAAATTGTAGTTATACAGTTTTCAAAGTGAGCAATTTTATGTAGTTAATTGTGTAATGTTGTTTATGATTTTAAACCACACAATTAATATATTATTCACAGACATGCATAATGGACTCTTTGTATTGAATGATGGTTTAAGAAAAAATGTAACTGATTTTGCAGCTACAATGATTGATTTATGAGGTAAAATTAAAAGTGCTAAGTATGTATTACTTGGCTACTCACCAGCTAAGTGGATGGGGGTGGTATGAAAAATATCTGTATATAACTAACTGCAATGTATGGATATCTAGGAATCAGAGAAATTATTTAAAGCAAAGCAAAAGGATTAACCAAGAAGTAAATAGTGAAGATTTAGGAAAGGCAATTGGCTATCAAGGGAAACTAGACAAGAATTAGATGTTCTTGCCTATAAAAATCTTCTCTAATATAAGGTAATGGAAGCTTTATTCTTAGAAATTTTAAAACAGCTGGATCGAACAATATCAAATTAAAAGACCACACTCCAGTAACATCTCTCATTAATATCTTGCTTTTTAAGTAATGATGGGACTTTAAATGAAATGGTACCTCGCATGAATAATGGAAACTACCTGCCTGTAATGAAGAAAGGACCTCCATGGTACCAAGGGATCTGACTTCTTGGTACCTACCAAGAGGTACTGGAAGTACTTTCCATTTTTAATTCATTTGGAGGGGGAAAAAAAAAGATGTCATTATGCAAGGTGAATGTCACATGAAATCATGGGCAGTTCCATTAAAGAGCTTTACACGAAGTAAAAATTCTCAGTTTAGACAAAAGCTATGCCCTGCTGTTCTGCTGTAGCTTTTTATACTAACAAATTTTAACTGGACGACAACTAATTGAAGAAGGCACTTGTTTTATTTCACCAGATTTCCTTCTCTGAACTGATATTTTAACAAAAGTGTGTAAAATCTTATTAAGGTACGTGACCAATTTGGAAGAAACACACCAAAGCAATACACTAAACTTGCTGCTTCCACCATCCTCTTCACTTACACAAAGCAAAGGAGAGTCTCATCTTAGCTAAATTCCACAAACAACTTGCTATCCCTCATCTGAGCTAGCCTGCTTCAGAGGAAAAAAAAGTATTTAGAGGAAAACTCCTCTAGTAAATGACAGTTCCTCTTGTCAAAGGGCATAAGGAGATGGGTTTAGCAAGGAAGTTTGTATAATTTAATAAAAAAGTTAATCTAAATGTTTCCATATTGATGTGCCTTGATTTAAGCTCTAAAATTAAGCAAGCTTCACATTTCTATGAAACAGCCATGAACAACAGACTATAATATAACTTGCCTTTAAGCTACATCAAAGTAAGAAGCATGCTTTTCCTAGATTGACAACTGTCACATATTTTGACACAGGAACAGGACAGATGGATCATTTATTACTGTGATTTTGGATACCCAGCACCATCAAAATATTACAAAGCAAAAACATTGCATCAACAGGGAACTTTTTATTCCTGAACTTCTGATGGGCAAAATGAAATAAAATTCACCCAGATCTTGTGACTTTTATTTTCTGTTGAGCATGTGTATATAAATGTCTATGCTATACCATCTTTGTGTATGAGCAATGTAACATATATAGGATATCTAAAAGCAGTTTTCTTTTCACTCAGCTTCACATTATTGCCTATTCCATATTACTTGTAACTGATTAAGTTCATTTTACAACTCAGCTTTGTACTCCTTCTCCATTTATTCTCCTTCCAAAGCAATCTGACCCTTCTTCCACCTGAACATTTAACACACATTATAAGTTTCAGTTCTTCCTCTTTCTGGAAATTTATCTTCATACTTTGTGAACTTCATAACTCATATTTTCATCAAGTTTCAGTCATGACACACTTTCAGGACTGACCATATTTGAGTGTCTGTTTACACTCTTATGTCATGTGTGTTGGAATGACATTATGAACTCCCATAAGTAGATCATGGATACAGTATATCAGTAACATAACATTTCATATAGAAATGAAATGGAAGTTCTGACACTATTGCCTTTTCTGATGTAATTTATTCAACTTATAGCCACCAATTTGAAATTTTTATAAATGCTAACAGTTCTGCTCACTTGCTCCACTGGCTGAGATATGATTATATTCTCCCCAAAGAAAAGATGGCCATTAGAACAATATGATAACTAATGGAAAGTAGAAGTTCACATTTAGCAATCTAGAAAAATACAGATAAAAGACCAGTTTGCAAATAAATAGCTGCACTTGTCATAATTTAAAAAAAAAAAAAAAACAAAACCAACACCCAGACTTATCTCTTAGAGTTCATTTGTGACTAAATAAATTAGAGTACAGTCTACTACAGATGACCTGGTGGCCATCTAGGATTACAGGCTGGAGCCCAGGCTATTCAGCCCAAAGGTTAGGGCCTGTGTCCAGAGCTGGGAAGGGAGCCGAATGTTCGTGGCCAAAATTCAGGAACCAGAAAGTCAAACCAAGGGTCAGCAGCCAGAGATAGGAATAAGCATCTGCCCAGGAATCACGACCTGAAATCAGAAACCCACAAAAAGAAACTGCAGTCACAGGGCACAATGCAGAGGTGGTTCTGAATACATATATTGTGAGGTGTGAAAGGATGTGCTGGAGTTCTGCCTCAGAGAGCTGCTCCTGAGCCACTGGCTGATGTGCTCTGGCTAACAGGTCCAAACTGCAGGGAACCTGATTTACTACTACAAAAAAAGGTCTTAGCAGAGATTAGTAAGCTTGCCCTGAAAAATATAGCAAATAAACCAGCCTTCTACCCTTCCAAACTCTTGTGGATGTTGAGAAGGACGGAACCTCTTTTCTCGGTATCATATTTGTTAGGTAGGTTAATAGAAGGCTTCCATTTCTTCTGCTGCTGAACCAGAAAGTTCCAGAGGCATGACATCTACATAACACTTCTAAATTTTGTACTAACAGAGAACTTCCAAATCTGTTAAAGGCAGGAATGAATTAAAACAAACAGATCAAAGTTGCACCAGTATGGATCTTTAGAGTTTTAACAATTCTTTGACCCTCTTAGGGCTTTTCCTTATAATCACTGCAGAGAGCAGTGCCAAATGGTCAGACTGGACTTTCACCTGCAATTTTGTACACATGAAGTAGCAATGGAGGAAGGTTGTAAGCAATAGGGCATGGTGTGAAAAATCAGATCAAAAGATAAGTAGAATGATTTGGATTGGAAGGGACTTTTAAAGGTCACCTAGTCCAACCCCCATGCAGTGAGCAGGAACATCTTCCACTCTACCAGGTTGCTCAGAGCCCCATCCAACATGAACTTGCGTGTTTCCAGGGATGAGGCATCCAGCACATCTCCAGGCAATCTGTTGACAGTGTTTTGCCACCCTCAATATAAAAAATTTCTTTCTTATATCTAGTCTGAATCTACTCTCTTTTATTTTAAAACCATTGCATCTTGTACTGTTGCAACAGGCCCTGCTAGAAGTTTGTCTCTATCTTTCTTTTAGGCCCCCTTCAAGTACCGAAAGGCCACTGTAAGGTCTCCCCAGACCCTTCTCTTATCCAGGCTGAGCAACTCCAACTCTCTCAGTCTGTCTTCACAGGAGAGGTCCTCCACCCCTCTGACCATCTTCAGGACCCTCTTCTGGACTCACTCCAACAGGTCCATGTCCTTCCTGTGCTGGGGACCCCAGAGCTGGAGGCAGCACTGCAGGTGGGGTCTCACCAGAGCAGAGCAGAGGGGCAGAATCCCCTCCCTCCCCTGCTGCCCACACTGCTTTGGATGCAGCCCAGGACATGGGAGGTGGCTGGGCTCCCAGTGCACATGGCTGGGTCATGTCCAGCCTCTCACCCACCAGCACCCCCAAGTCCTTCTCAGCAGGGCTGCTCTGTATCTATTCATCCCCCAGCCTGGATTGATACCAGAAACCCTGTTCTTGGTCTTGTTGAATCTCATGAGGTTCAAATGGGCCCAGTTCTGGATTTTGTCCAGGTCCCTCTGGATGGCATCCCTTCCCTCAGGCGTGTCAACAGCACCACACAGCTTGGCTTTGTCTGCAAATTTGCTGAGGGTGCACTTGATCCCACTGTCTATGTCAAGATATTCAACAATACTGGTCCCAACACAGTCATAGGCCCAAGCTCAAATTCCTTCCTGCCTTCCTGGTTCCTCAGGACAGGTGCCTAACACCCTTTAGACATCTGTTTCGTGCATGGCTGTGAACCAAGAGTTCTTGTCTGCACTGCATTAGCATGAGAGTTTGGAGAGTTTGTGACATAGAAGGGCATGGTTTGGTTTGTGTGTGAGGGAATAGTGATGGACAGATGTTACTGTCCCTTCTTCTTGGGCATGCAGTTCTTGTTGCAAGTGGCAGCTATGAGGTACATCTCTGAGAAGAAAGGTGGAATGGGCCATGAACTTCACCCTATCCACATGTACAGCTTGGGTCAAGCAAGTTTTGGAGCCACTTCTTAAGAAGTTCTGCACATCCCTGGACTGGAGTGTTCTCCACTACAGCGCTGCAGCTCCTTACCATAGAAGTTCTCATTAAACTCTTCCAAGGTATATAAGGATCTCTTAGGCATATAAGAATTTAAATATGCAAATATTGTACAGTGTGTCAGACCACCCACATCTTACTTAAAAAAAAAAAAATCCTGTTGAGGATTTTGCTATGACCTCACTCCATTTTTCTACGTGAAAGAAAAATATTGTCTGACTTCCTTCATAGCATATTCTACATCTTATTGACAAATCACTTATGACACTAATTTATTAGCATAGAAATATTACTAAACTCAAGACAGCCTGCTTTGATTTACTACATCATAGTTTTTCATATGCCAAGGTCCTATCATCTCTGCTTGATCATTAAAAGTCCCTTGGCTTTTTGTTTGCCTTTTTTTTTTTTTGAGCAACAGAAGAGTTTTGCCTTGTGGCCCTGGCTGAAATCCTGAGTATTGAATGGATTTGAAGCTCAAAGGAAGATTCACTGAGCTGATGCTTAAGAAATACAGGATGCGTTTTTCAAAACCACTGTCTTACATTAGCTCCTTGCCACAAAATCAATGGCAAAGTAGGGAAAAAATGGGACATAAACACAGAAAAGTAAAATCTAACAACAATTAGAGACAAGAATTCCGTAGAGACATGAAGAATTGCAGGATTTAAAGTCTTTTTGCCAGCATCATTGTATTACAAGAAAGATGGGTGGCCAATTTCATAGTGGCGGGGAGGTTGGAATTAGAAGATCTTTAAGGTCCCTTCCAGTCTAAGCCTTTCTATGATTCTATGATAAGTTGCCATTCCAGGTTTTTTCCTCTCTTCCATGGATGTGTCCTCCTCTTCATCAGCTTCATTTCACTACGTGCACAACCAGTGACTGGCTACTGGTAATAGTCAAAGTAATCAAGCTCTGCAGCACTAATATTCCAGATTACAGGAGTCCATTCAGAAAACATATTAAAGATAGAAAACTGAGATTAAAGTTAAAACTTATGCTCTGTCCCTCACATAAATTGATTTGGTATTTCAAAAAAGAAATGAAGGCCTTATTGACCTAGAACTTGTAGCTCAAATGAAATCCATGGAAAATCAGTTGGCTTATGTTTAATTCAAGGATCTTTCCTGGAAAAATTAAAAAATACATCTTAACACATAACTGAAGATAACCAATTATTTTATCTTGTCTCCACTTCTTCTGAAACTAAGTAAGCCAAAACAATTTCACTATTATGTGAAATGAGCTATCGAAATGCAATATAAATAAAAAACTTGGGCATATTTTCAAATTTTTTATGCATTCTCAGAGATTTTTATTTATATTTCAGCAAATGCTATTTTAGCCATAGCAATAAATTTGAACACCTGTTATTTGTGTAAGGTGTACCCACCAGTCGCTCAGCCAGACCAGATCGTGTGATAATATAATTCCAAAGAGTATGTTCTTATTTTGTCTGAAAACTAAACAATTCGTCTGCTTACAAGGAAGCAAGTTTGCTTGTCAACACAGAAAATAAAAGCGTGGTGATGTTACATGTCCAGCATAAAAAGTAGCGGAAGGTTTGAAATAAGAATAAATATATCAAAATAGTGTATATTATATATCAATTCAGGTAAATAAATAAGAGCTAATTAGTGCACATTTAAGTTGCATTACTGAACACAGCCTTCCCATGCAGAAACACACCTTAAAGGCTGTGAGAAGTACACTTGCTCCTTTTTCATCTTCACACCACCCACCAGCACGGTTGATAAAGCACCGAAATGCACTAATGTTTTCCCCTCCCTGTCCCTCTCCAGCGGATATGAGAGCCCAATGTTGATACCCAGCTGCGGCAAATTCTCATTCGGAAACAAAATCTCCAAATTCGGGAACTTTGTACCCGAATATATCAAAAAGTCAACACAGCTCATTGTCACATTAGGAAGCTTATTCTGTCCTGGGATTGCTGAGATACTTGGCAAGACAGACGGCCAGTCTCTCTGTCTCCCTGATGGCGTCTGCAGTGCTAGAGATTTGTCATGCAATTCATTGAGCTGAACTGAGCACATAAATTTTCAGTTATGACTAGAAAGTTAGAAAATTCTCCACAGATGAAAATTACATGTCCATACTGATAGGCAGGCAGGGAGCACTTTGGGGAACAAGAGCAGGAACAAAGGATCAATCCCAGAGTGTGAGAGTGACTTAGAGAAACGAAGAACAAGCTAAAAGTGGCACGAGCAAGGTATAATTTCTATGTTAACTCTAGAGGTTCCTTCTACATTCGTTCATTTTCCAGCCACAACATCAGTAAATATTTAAATCACTCCCACTGTAGGTGGCAGTTTATTGAGATTTATTTTTTGAGAATTGAGATCTCAGTAAACCAAAAGCTTCTACCACAATCTCAGTTCTGAATTTAAAACTAGCATCTCCACAATAAACCACTGATCTCCACCCTTAACTATGGCAAACCAGTACCCAGATCCAGAGAGATGTCGCAGAACCTTCCACTTAACACAGAAGCAATACAAATCTGTGTTTTCATATGAAAGCAGACAGAAAGACCAAAAGGAACAACGTCCTTTCATAATAAAGGCTTGAACCTTTCTTGAATATATCATAATTAACAGGTTGTAGGTAAAGCTGATGATTTTACGATTTTTTTTCCCTTAGGAAGGCATATTTTCAATCAGTATTTTACATAGTGCAGGCCATGCTCTAGGACTGAAGAGCAAAAACCTGAGATTCTTGCCAGCAAAAGATTTAACCTGAATAGGAGGAAAAAAACATTGCTGTTGGGACAACTCTTTTGAAGGAGTTTGTCAGGCCTTACATAGCAAATGTATGTAGACGTATAAAAATAACTTCATTTTTAATTCACTCTTTCGTTCTAATTTTGTGACAATGTGTGTCACTAGTCCAAGGTGTACTAGTTTCATTATTACCAAAATATAAAGTAGTGAGGTACTGAAAGATCTCTTCTGCTTTTAACAGTCACCCAGTATACATTTGTATTTTATTCAAAATACAATTTTTAAAAAGTTAGGTAAAGTCTTAATTCACAAACTGTTTTACTGCATAAATATGACACCAAAGGATAGATGTCAATTGGCTTTACAGAGCATTTTGAGTATCTGTACAAGCACATTCTAGCTGATATAACACGACCTGCATTGGGAAGAAGCAAGTGGTGATGGAAAGTTTGCCTTAACTACCCCGGGCGAATAAAGCGGTAAAACTCTAGCTGCAGACAAGCCCTCTTACTCTACCACTCCTTAGTGTGGACAAGACTAAATGCAGAAAAGAAAATTCTGAAGAGGAGAGCAAAACAAGCAAACAAACAAACAAAAATAAAAATCAGAAACAAACAAAAATGCCAGCCCAAGGGCAGCTATGCCAATCCTATTTTGGACTGTTCTGGTTTATTTTCTTCCAGTATTGCAGCCAAAGGAAATCCCCCTGCATTTTCTTAAGACATCTGAGCTTGCATGAGAAGTGGGAAGCTAGCTGGAAGGAAGGCTTTTCTGACAGCCTTACCTGAAGGGCTTCAAAAAAGAGACTGGGGAGTGTGTAAACTAAGAAGAAAACTATTCACAGGCACATACCCTTAGTGGAAAGATACTAGTTTCAGGATTAAAAAAAATCCTGCAAGGCATATTGGCATGTGTACACCTTTTTCCAGCTATTGGTTTTTCAAGAAGGGAACATAGCGATAGGATTAATTTCTTCTAAGGGTCTCAGCACCTTGAATAAATTGACTTTTACTTACCTGTTAGGTCTTTTCCAATACTAGGATACCAGTAGATCTCCAACCAAGTAGTACAGCGCAGTGCTACTGTAAGATTTGATTCTTGGTTCAGGTAGGCAACAGTTGGGATGACCCTCAAACAGTCTGCTGAGAAAGAAAATAATAAATTTGAAACAATAGCAAACACACACAGGCAAAAGTTTAAATTAAAAGAAAAATAAAAGAGAGAGTAAAAGAAAAGAAATTAAACAAGGACAACAAGAATCGACCTGTGAGTAATTTTCCTGTTTATTCCTGTATTTCTAACTGAAGCCAGGTGACGCTGGCAGAGAAGACTGTCATGAAAATGGGGGGAGCAGAAGGCAAGAGGGAGATACAAACAGTCACCTATCTACTTTAGCAAAGCCAGCAACCAGAAGAGTTGCTACCTTGCAAACCTGGTCCTGTTTTGCTTCATTTGGACTATGTACCTGAACTTCAGCCTGCTGCCCTAGCCCATGCAACCTTACTAACCGTGGGTCTATAGGGATTCTCCCCCTTCCTGCCATTATATCTCCCACTGCAAATATATTATTATTAATATGTGTCAATGCCAAGAGGAAAGAATGAAAGAAACCCACTGCACACACTAGATAATAGCCTGACAGGGATCATCTTTTTGAAGGAGGCAAGCCAAGGATCAAATCTGTAGTTACTACCCAGTAGAGCTGTACCACTTGAAGGACTTTTATTAGTGCTGTAAACAATGTACACATTTTACACCAGTTAATTTTATCATCTTCTCCCCACCTTCTGTATGTTTGCAGCAACCTGAAGTGCTGGGGAGGGTAGTGGCTCTAGTCAGAGTTTCTTAGGAAACAAAGATTCCAAGGTCAGGTATAATCAGCCTAGCAAAGAGAGGCCAGAGACTGGGGCAGATCTTCAGCAGTGGGAGCAACAGAAAATGTTACTCACCATCACTGCTATGTCAGAGATTTGCATCAGTGCAGACCAAATGAACTGATTATGGGTATGCTCTGCCAGTGTCACTACTTAATACTAGTCTCACTGACTTATCTGTTCACTGCAGTGGTTGCACAGAGCCAGTAAAGAGTGACAGAAAAAAAGCCCAGTGCTGGAGTTTCCACAGTCCAGGACAGGAATGGAACATCACAGGTGCAGTTCCTGTTATTTCTACTTCTCAGCATTCTGCTAGGAAGGTCTCAGACATTATAACACATTATTTTGGATCTTTGGACCTTGGATGCCTTTTTTGTCCCCCTTTTTGAGCACTAAGTAGTTCATGCACCCATCTGAGCCCTTACAAGCTGTGGTCTGGAGTGTTCACTGTAGGGTCTCTCTCAGTTTCTTAAACACTTTGCTCAGAAGTGGGAGGTTAGACCCGAAATAATAACCAAAGCACAGGACTAACTCATCAGAGGAAAGCTCCTCTGGTGTTTGACAGACTCATGAATGTTAGCAAGGAAGAAAAAAAGCATCATTTCTAAACACACAAATATTTAGGTCCAAACCTCACATTTTGGGCTACTACAGTCCTTCCTTGAGTCCTGATTTTAATTGTGGCTCTCAATAATTAAATTTATTGAACACAGACATATAGAAACTGCAATACAAAGGGAGCAGACCTCTGATGTCTGAGAAAGTTTTCAGAACATCCATGTTCTTTTCAATGAAGTGAGATGACAGCAGACTGCTCAGACCTGCAGCATGCTGTGGGCACTGAGCACTGATGACTTGGTTTACCACCCATGGTTTACCATCCTTTCCTTGATAAAGGATGTGGCAACCGATAGGAAACTTTTCTCTGTCTGTAATACCGCTACAGCATTGCCTGAGATATAAATTCCTCCAAGGGTGTTTGTACCAGCCTTTGCTCTCAGCCGTCAGTCTCCATTCTCACTCAGGGTCTGTGCTTGGATACGGCAGCCTTTGATATGACCACAGCTAATCAAAAAAGCTGCACAGGTGGGGTTTGCAGCCCTTATGAATAAGAAAGTTGGGGTTAGCTTCGAAAAAGCCTCTGAAGGAGAAGAAAAAAGAGGATTTGAAAGCAGGATATCCAGACATATTAAGTTCTCTTCACCCCCATGGTGTGGAACACCGTTATCGTGACACAAAGGAAATACGTGGACCGGCTTTTTTCTTTTCTGTTTCTTTTCTAAAGAGTTCAGCTTCATCTCTTTGGATATAGATAATTAGTTCTTTTACTTCATTTTCCCTCATTTAAGTAAACCTCAGGAGGAAGGAGAACGCGAACGGGCGCTATTTCCCACGTGCATCCTCTCACTGGCCCGCTCCTTCCGTGGGGTTTGGTGAGGTCGCTCTGTTATACAGGGCATTACTTTCAAACAGACCAGCCACTCCTTCCAGAACGTCCCTTCTTTAATGAAATCTGACACATCAGAAAAGAGGACGGGAAGTTTTTGTTGTCTGTACTTATAATCTTAAGCCAGCTCCCGCTTGTCCCGAGCGTGTCAGAGAGCGCGTCCGGCAGAGCCAGCGGGCCCTCAGACACTGAACTCTGAACTTGGGCCGGACCTTGGCCTGGTCAGCTCTGTGACAGGAAAGCAGGCAGACTTTGAACCCCGGGCTTTGGGGCTGTGAGCAGAGAAACAGCTGCACTTTGCAACACGAACTTTGCACTTAGACACATGTACATTTAATCTCTATAAAAGAGCCTTTGTTTCATTACTTATTAACATCCCCTCCTTGAGTAAAGTTCTTTGTTGATGTGGCTTTAAACATGGTGTGAGGGGTTTTTTTCCCACGTTCCTATCCCCCCAAAAAATAAAACCCACCACCCAACTTGATAGGATTACATTAAGTATTAGAAAGTACTGAAACCAAAATCAATGTAGACTTTATGTACCTTCTGAATACTGTGGATATTTGCTGTGTGCTCTCTTCTGAGTGACTTAATTGTAATAACCAGAGCTAAATACAGAAATCAGGTAATGTTTGAGGCCTGTCTTTGCAGAGACCACTTCTTGAGATGATACCTACAGTATTTCAGCCTGCAGTGACATTCAACCTTACTGAATAAATCAGATGAAAATTGAAATAGTAAGAAAGTGTCAACCCGTCCACACTAAAAAGCCATACTTTATGGAAGTGTCATGAGTTTTATAGTTGTACAGCTTTTTGCTACTGATTTTGCTTTGGAGCATTGTCAGTGCTTGGCTTCTGTGCATGGTAACATGCACAGCCCAGCAAATCCATAGAGATATTTGTGCCCTTTCCTTCACTAATAAAAACTTTGATCAGGAACAGAAACCTACCTAAACAAGGACCAAATGAAAACCCCAAAAGAGACCATATAATGCTTTAATCATTTCTATACCAAAAGTAAAAGCTTAAGATGCACATATGCATTTACTGTAACAAAACCGAGTGACAGAAAATTACTGGTAGATCCTGGAAATGCCCTATTGTGTCTGTGTTGTTAGAGTGGCAAAAGAAGATTGAGAAAATAAAGATTTTCTGAACAATTCTTCATCTGCAATTAGAATAAAACAAATAGTTGAAAGTGTATTTTCCATGTCTTCAGGTACCACAAATATTGGTTACTGCCTGTTTGACAAAAAAAATTGACCGGAGACAGAGGGATCACAGTCACACTTTTTTTCCATCACTACCTTCTTTTCAACATAAATTTCCTTCCAAGCCTCTCTGGTGAGCTTTTTTCTCTTCTTTTTTTTTTTTCTTTTTCCCTCTATATGAAGACACACCCACACACACCTGACCCAGTTTTCCTTCATTTTCATTAACAGAATGATACAAAAAAGGAAATTTTCAACTAGTCTAGCAAGTCAGGTGGGTAAAGAATAAATCAAGGAAAGCAATTTCAAAGCACTCCCTTGCATGAAGCTGGGCTGGCAGGACTCGGTAGCGATGGGGTGAGGATGGTCAGCTCCTGCGGTTACCTGTGAGAAGCCCATGACGTTTCTTATTTGGATCTATTTTTTTACCCCCCACCTTCAGGGCACTGCTTTGACAGCATCAGTGTTCATCTAATCCTAGAGTTTGATTTGCATTCCTTCCAGAGAGCGGGCTGACAGCAAACAACAGAATTACTTGTGTTGCTCCCATTTTGGGTACGAGTGCTGTTGCCCTCCTATGACTGCAAAGCAGCTGGCACAACTGCAAGGGTGTTACACCTTATTATTTTCCTTTGTATATCCAGAAAGCTGTGCCTTCTCCTCCTTGAGGTGCCCCCCCATGACAAAGCATGCATTATGCATTCCTCATCACCTCTGCCCTGGAACACGGCCCTCCCGTCACACGGGCCTACCATGATGATCATAAGATTTAGCTGTTGCTAAGAATAGACACGATCATTTGGAAGAGATCCTGCTTTATTTCTGGGCGCAGCTTCTGAATGGTGTTAAACAACAAAACCCTTAGGTTGGATTCTGGATAACACCTGCCTGCTCTTTCCATCAGTTCGAGGGTGTCAGACCTCCCTCCACGAGGGCAGGCATGAGGATCAGCACCATTTGCTTGGCTGGGGACAGCTGCAGACGTGCACATGAATGAAGTCAAGCAAACCATAACATCTCCGTGAACAAAGCAGGCAAGCCTCTGGGAAACTACAGTACCTTTAATTAAAATAAATAAATAAAAATAAATAAGCTTGGAAAGAGTGCCGAGAAGAGCAACAAGAACTATTTAGGTCTGGAAAAAAAGACTCCTTGCAGTGAGACATTGAACTAAATGCATTTTGCTTCAAAGAGAAGATTATAATCTTTAAGGGACTAGACAAGAAGAAGATATTTCATAAGACTTTAAATTAGTGGGCAGACACACAACAGAATCCAATATTTGCAAGTTCAATCTGGAGATAAAAAGCATGTTTTAAGTATAATTAGCTACTGAGATGAATTGTCAAAAGATGCAGTAAATTCTCCATCACTAAGAAACTATTTTAATTATCACATGCTTGGCTTAAACTAGGTCCCAGAAGTCTCAGACAACACAAGCCAAATAATCTCTAAGTTTATCAAGCTTCTAGCATAAGACAGCCCTCAGTCTGGAAATTGTTCCTGTTGCTAATTCCAAATGAGATTATTTTTTCCACAAGAAATTCAAGGTGGGAGAATAACGACAAGTGAATAGTTAGTGCATACAATACCAAGTCACGTAGACATTATTTATATAATAGTAGCATTTCTCAGTCCAGTGCTTCCAGGGGAAAAAAATAAAAAAGATATTCCCTAGTGTCTAATTCAGGTTAGAAAGCCAAAACAATGACAACAAAAAAACCCAACTAAAGAAAAAGGAGTATCACTTTATATATGAACTTTAAAATATACAATATTGTGTATAGTATTGTGATGTGCTTTTATCATATCCAGAATCCACCACAGAGAATCATAGAATGGCCTGAGTTGGAAGGGACCTTAA